TCTTCTCTAACATCATGCAAAGAACCCATTATTTATGCGTGTTTGTAGGTGATGTCACCGGCTGCCTCATCTCTCCACCTCTCTGATTAATGTTCTACCCATTTTTTTGCCAAAGTGTTATTAAATGTGGGTAGTTTTCATTTTAGAAGCAGCTATAAATACTAGTTTTTGTGTTCTGTATTTCAGCGTTTTGGAACTGAATTGAGGTCAATGTGCCGGACACGAGGATATTTACACCAACCATAAAGGAACTACAGTCATTTTACAGCTTGTTCTCCCTTTTCAAGAAACAATATCTGATCACTGATCAGACAAATCAACATTAGCATCTTAAATTCAACTGTCTTTTTTAAATAATTGATTGCAAATGTTTTGTTGGCAGTGATCATCTCCAGCCTGTGACCCACAGAGACGAATTATTTCCCAGCTGATGTTCTGCCAAGCCTGTAATACAGTGATGTTTAGGCTCCTGTTTGTTTTGGAGGATTCTTTCCTTCAGTCTTGTCCTCAGTAAGTAAAATGCATACCGAGTGGAGTTCTGGTTGAGTGGTTGATCTGACAGTTCAAGAACTTTCCATTTTTGGACCCTGAAAAACTCCTTATTAGTTTAACGGTACCGCTGATGGTGAAGATATGGAAGTGGTGGACAGCTTTTGGATCAGTTACTAACAGCAAACGATCCAGCAGTCAAGAAAGACGATAGAGATTGGCACTAATGATGTGACTCTACGAACAAAGATCAGAGCCGCCCAGCCGTGGTAACACCTCTGCCTTCTACCCTGTAGACTGGGGTTCAATTCCATGGCGTGGGCAAACACCTTACACTATACTAATAAGAGTCTTTGGGCAGGACGCTTAACACTTCTTTCGCCTACATGTGTCACTCCGGATAAGAGCATCTGCCAAATGCCATAAATATTTTCTGTGGTTATTTATGGATGTGAAAGCTGGACTATAAAAAAGCAGGGGCTGGATACACAAAAGCTTTCTTATGACAAACACTAAGAAGTTCATAAGAATGATCTTAAATGCAATTCTACACTGTTTTCTCATGTATACTATGTTGCATTTTACCACATACCCTAAATGATGCAAACTACATTCTGAATTTGTATTAATTGTTATTTCTGTTATTTAATCAGCTCAAAAGACAACAAAATAAAGTCTCACTTCTTACTTGAAACCCAGATAAACCCTGAAGCTTATATTTTAGACAAATTATGAGAAAAAGTTTCCAAGTTCACTTGAAACTGGTTCTTCTGGGGAAACTGGGGGAAGGTAAAAGATGAGGAGGACAACCAACAAGATGGATGGGCAGAAGCAGAGGAATCATGAAGAAACCATTCAGAAGCCTAAAGACCCAAACAGAAGACAGAATATTCTGGCGAGACACTATCCATATGGCCTATGTTGACAGCTAACAGCAACAACAACAACAATAACAACAACAATAATAATAATAATAATTTGAGACTTAACAATAACGAGTAAACATGCAAATTAGATTTTCATCTTTTATTCACTGAAAGTCTGAAAGGGGGGTACAATTCATGTTTGTTTTGCAATGTGGCCAATAAATCACAGTTACGCCACTGAACAGGGCTCTTCTGATCGTCAGGCTTACCAGCGAGAGGTAAACCAGAGTTAATGCCAGTGTCTTCTTCTCTTTATGGTAGCCTTTTAACACTTCTGTGCGATCCTGGAAAGTCTTCTTGACACAACAATTTTTTGTAACGACTGAAATTGGTCGTCTGTCAGATACAGCTTGCTCTGCATCTTCTGCTTTTTACCTGCTGTGAGTCTAGCTGTTTCCTAAAGGTGTAAAACTAGGCTAATATTTCAAATAGCAAGGATTCCCCACCCCATTAGCCTACAGAATTACACCAATAAATGTGTACGATCTGCAATCCCCTCACATTTAATTTGTTCATCTGGCTTTTTGCATTAATACTCACATGGAGAGCTTATATTCCGATGTTGATTACATATTCTGCAAGAGAAGCACTTCGTAAATGTACTACGTAAATGTAGAAATACCTGCCAACATGTACGTTGAAGTCACTCAGATGGAACCATAGTATAAAAGCAAGGAAAGTGCCAGTTCATTTAGGGGATATAGCTCTTTACTGAGGAGGAGGAAGGGAAAATTAATACTAAAAACAATGGAGTCAGCAAATTTAACATCACGTCACATCATCAAAAGCAGCTTTTAAATTCCTCTGAAGAACATCCAACCCTAACCCAGCTGAGGTTTGGCTTCGCATTTGTAGGCAGGAGATGTCAGCATGTTTAAAATTGGTGCCAGATTTTTCTGAATGAGTTGGTTTTTGAGGTGTCCTTGATTTGCTGAAGTCAAAATGGACATTTTATACTTTGTTAGTTCATGTTCTGCCCTTAAATTAAACATGAGAAATGGTTAAACTCTGGTGTATTCCATTCTTTACAAACCTAGGCCCAATTACAGTAACTCTTTTTTCATTGATCTCCTGCTTAAACCCTCAGCAGACATCATTTTTTTCAAAATACGATTTTCACAAAAAAGTCAACACCTACATCTTTGACACGTTTAAATCAGGTACACTGGCTACCAGTCTTGTCTTCTATTGTACATACACTATTAGAAATATTTTACATGCATTTTTCATTCATAAAGGTACAAACAATTTAAAAGTGCCCTCAAAGGTACAACAGTGGTTTTAAGGTCCATCTGTGTACCTTAAATAAGTTTTTCCCAGGTATAAGTACGTATTTGTACCTTTTTATAACCTATTTTTTTAAAACAGAACTATAAAATAAAAGCCTGGAGAGGAGACGGGGTGTGTGGAGTCAGTACAACTTAGAAAATATAATTTCAATGGATTATGGTACAATTATGCCCTGACTAAAGGTACTGAGATGTACCCTTAAGGTTCCACCCCAGTGATAAGAGGGGTACTGCCCCAGTGACAGTTTCATACATTTATTTGTGAGAGTGTACTGCTTTCAAAATCTTACACTTTCTGCTTAAATATTGTTTTTATGACTTGGAAGAACACAGCACCTACATTACATTACACAAGTGGCTGCTCACAGGAAATGAGTAGCAGGGGACAGCTAGGAGTGGGTTTTTCAACAGTAAACGCTAGGCTAATGTCAGTGAGCTTAGCAAGCTAAACAAACTTTGGTCTGCAAACCATTTTTTGAGAAGTCCATAAGACGTGTGAATAATAGTTTTGTCTGACTAAAGCTTAAGATTTAGAATGAAGATGTGTTGCACTGCTTTCCGTTTTCACTGCTGTGTAGTCCTTGGTAACTATTAAGCCAGCAGAGTGAACAGCAGTCAGGTACAGACACAAAAAGTCAAGTTGGGAGTTCTAATGTGAACACATAGTTTCAAACAGTGCCTGTGTTAGCCTTACCTAGGCCCTAAGAAAAACTTGATCACCCTGAGCCTAAACCGCATCTACATCCTCTCCTCCAGTAATGTTAGCGCTAAACTTCTGCACAAGCCCCTTAATGTCCCTCACATTCATCTGCTGTTAATCATAATGTTAATCTTACAGTCAAATACAATATTTTTGTCCTGGTAACTCTGTTATCGGATGAACTAGGACTTGTCTCTCTGTGTGTGAAATGCTGTTGAGCTGCTAGTGAGCAATGAGGGGTAAAAGGGGGGGGTGAGGACTCCATGCTGTGAAAAACAATTCACACCTCTCCACAAAGATGGAGATATGCAACAGCATTTTAGGCTCACTGTTAAAAAAAAATAGACTTCAAGAAAAGTCGTAATATTTCAAGAATAAACATTAATAACAATAAAGTGGGCTAACTGTAGAGAGGCTGCCACAACGCACTGGGGTCTTGGTTGCTGTATTAGCGAGGGCGAAGACGCTGAGCGCACCGGTGTTCCTCTCCTTTAAGAATGATCATTTTGATTATCGTTCTCATTGTCTCCTGTGAAACTACATGCGCTCTTCAAATGGCACAGAGTAACCACGATAGCCGTGTAGACGAACACTGCAGGCTAGTTCTCCTTCAACAAAACAGACAATTTCCTCCAAGTCCGTCTGGTCTTTATTCTAAGTAAACACAGTTTCCTCTACAGCTGTTACAGCCGTTTCTTATATTTAACAATCTGGTGCTGATGTGCCAGGAGAGACAGGGAGACTGAGTATTTCTTTTTTGGTGAAACTGATACAAAATTAAGTTTGAACTCTACCGACTCCTCAACGTTCCTCATTTTAACACAAGGAGGTTGCTATCTTCCTTTTGCAAACCCTATGATCATAATATTACAACTTTTCCTGGTAGTATCTTACTTTAATGTCGTAAATCTACCACTTTATTCTTGAAATATTACAATTTTACAAAATATGACTTTATGTTCAAAGTCTATTGTATTTATTGTTTTAACAGTGGCCCTAAAACGCCATCGTAGAAGTAAAATGGACAATAGCAGCTTCCTTCATATCAGACAATCCTGCACTGACACAATAAACACACAGCATTTACAATAAAACACTTTAATTCATGCTGACTTACTTGCTCACGTATAAAGATAAAAACCCCATTTTGGCAAATAGTAAATTTTTCCATTTAAAAGTGTACTCTTAATATTGCATATAATATTATATATAAGACATTAAAAGCATAGTTCAACTGATCGAGCTCCAAAACAGGCAAAAATTAGATTTTATGGTGACTACAAAAAAATTGTCTGGGTTACATGCACAGTTCTAGGAAAACCTTTAATTGGTATAGAACCTTTACAATACATGGAGGCTCAATTTGATCTCATTTATAAAAATGATTATCCAGTGAAATTATTTTTACATTACTAAAAATGTTCAAATGTTTCAATGGTTTTGTAGTTTATTACTATCATTGTATTATTATTATTATTATTATTATTATTTTTAAAAGGGCTGCATGTTGTACAAGATTCACCTAATATGTGTGTAAACAGCCTCATAAATCAGGCAGCAGCATTAAACTGAAAATAACACGATTAACCACAGAGGTCAATAAATAGACAGCGTTTTATTGAAGAGATTCTCTTTCACTGTGTGAAAACATTCAAAGTAAACACTGCATACACAAATAAAGGAATCTGTAACACTTCAAAATCTTTTCAGGCACAATTTAATCAAAGCTAATAGACTGTAATTATATAACTGATCAGTAGGGGTGGAAAAAAGCATGGTATTTCCTGTGATAATAAAATCACAGCATGCTTTTCTGAGGCTACTGTGGATCGTACTTAAACTGCATGTTTTATTGCAAAGGGAGCAGAATTAGTCCTGTTTATTTGGGTTTACTGAATTTCAGTGTGAGAAAAATCATTGTGCTCATAGTTTTTGATAGCATTTTTAGTATTTTCACTGGTTTCACTTTATTTGTCAAACCTCACAGAACTTAAACATCATGATTTGCATCGTGTACTGAAAGTATCGAAGTATCGTGATGTTACTTTTTTGCTATAATTGTCCACCTTTACTGATCTAGCACCACAAATATAACTGACCCCAGTGGGTGGGCTACTCTGTGCTTGTGTTATTGCATCTTTCTGAGCAGTGAAATGAGTGTTTAAACACCCCTGGTCAAATTACATGTTTTGCTGACTGAAAATAAACCACAGGAAACATTTTCAGCACATTTTAGTGCACAATTACTGTTCATGTGCTGAGTTTTACATATTATAAAATGTGGCACAACTTCTGTTTATTTCCCCTCCCAATATGTTGAATTCAGTAAATAAACAGTAATTGTGCAGTAAAATGTACAGAAGTGTGCTCTCTGCAGAGGATGTGTTCACTTATTTACACTTAGAAAATCAAGAACAACATGGAATTTAACCAGGGGTGCCCAAACATTTGCAGAAGACTGTAGATCTATAATCTTACTGTGATTCATATAAAAATATTCCACAAAAAACAGATATAAAGGTGTTGAATCAAACAGCATATTTAAATAATAAATTCAAGTTGGCACATGTATTTAAGCATCTATCTTTATAAAGTTCCCTGATTTATTTAGGTTATTTACTCATTTTCACGGCAACAGCCACACATTCACACAATAAAAAGCACACATCCGTCGCACACAGCATATCCATTAGGTACCTCATTAACTAGGAACCAAGGCAGCTTGCAGAGCTCTGTTTTGATACGTTACACTCAGCTCGAGCACATGATGTGGCAGGGATGTAAACAAGTAGCATCAGGTTCTCCTCCCTCCGCTCTATTCCTGTGTCACCACAAGGGAAAATCAGCAAGATCACTGCAGGAAGGCAAACAGGGATTGAATGAGGCCACGGGTCTGTCATCTGAGCCGCGCGTATGAAAGAGAGGCACGCGAGAGGGGTGCTTTCATGGGAAAGCTGCACTTGAGCAATATTCTGCAATTCTAAGAGCACTTGGCTGGAGCTTCAACCCAACTCCCTTCTGTGAGTGGTTTCTTTTTCCATGCTATAAAAATACTTCAGTGGCTTCGCAATTGCAGGGGAATCGTTTTCAAGGGCTAAGAGCGTTCACGCTTCGCATTTTATAAAAGAGCCGAAAGTGAACAGAAACGTTAGGCCACAGTAAGAGGAGGACGGCTCTTATCTTCTGCCAGCTTGTTGTTGGTCAGAAGTTCTTTGGGAAGCAGTGCAGATTTCATTGCTTGTTATAATTGTTAACTTTTGTGCACTGCAAAAATGATACTTTTTACCTAATGTTTAATATGAAGTGTTTCTAATTGTGAGTCGTAAAGACTTATTTCTTGACATTTTTCAGAAATTGTATCTAATGAAAGCGTCTTATTCCATTGGCAGATAATTCTTTAGAGGAATAATGTTACTACTGAGCCAACAGAGGGAAACTTAAATTTTTTAGCATTTCTGCATAATTAAATGTGTCAATGAAGTCATTTAAAGTGGTTTAGTGTATAGAGAAACTAAACTATTTGGATTTCTTTACAGTGTTGGTGATAGGAACCAGGGGTTGCCATGACTACAACACAAATATAGACTATATATTATTTACTATCCAAAATCACAAGTGAACTTACATGTGTCTTCTGAGCTTTATATGGAATACTGATGATGGTACAACCTGAAAATAATAAGTTTTCTTTGGAGGCTATTTTGCCTCACAACACCATGCATGTATCCTTCCACCATGAATAGCTTTTACAAATACATTTTAGGCCAAAAGCTTATCTCAAAACGATTGTAATATAATGTCTCATACATCAGGTAGTGTGTTCATAACCAGTTCATCTAATAACTTTCTGTATTGTAGCTTTTAGAGGCTTTAACATTTCAGACGTCTGGTTCCTATCACCACCACTGTGAACAATTTCGACTCTGTTAGTTTCTCTAGAACAGAGCATTTCATACCAAACCACACTGAATGACTCTGTTTACATATTAACCATCTAATTATGGAGAAACTTTGGGAAATGGGTGGAATTCCCCTTTAAGGCTAGAAAAAATTACATTAGAAATATTACTTACATTGACTAGGTTTTCACTTGCAAAGGTATCATTTCTGCAGTGTACTTTACACACCTAAGACAACATCATTATTCTTAGTGTATTCATAATTGACATATCCAGGCTCCACCCACAAACACGCGCTTTCATAGCAACTGTTGTAAAATTGTTGTAAAACTTTTACAGAACACTGGCAAAAATCCCATTCAATCTAATAATAAACTATAGCATCTGAGCACGACTCTGAAACAGTAATTCACAAATTATTATCATAAGAAAGCTACAGTGTTTGTCTAGAGGCATTACATAACATTAGAAAGTTTTATTTAATACGCTGGACTTGTGTTGTGTTCTATAGTTTCTCATTAGGTTGAATGAATAACTGGCTCTAAATGTAGATATTGTGATATAAACTGAGTCTGTTCTACAGTTTCTCACTAGGTTGAATGAATAACTGGCTCTAAATGTAGGTATTATGATATAAACCAAGTCTGTTCTACAGTTTCTCATTAGGTTGAATGAATAACTGACTCTAAATGTAGGTATTGTGATATAAACTGAGTCTGTTCTACAGTTTCTCATTAGGTTGAATGAATAACTGACTCTAAATGTAGGTATTGTGATATAAACTGAGTCTGTTCTACAGTTTCTCATTAGGTTGAATGAATAACTGACTCTAAATGTAGGTATTGTGATATAAACCAAGTCTGTTCTACAGTTTCTCATTAGGCTGAATGAATAACTGGCTCTAAATGTAGGTATTATGATATAAACTGAGTCTGTTCTACAGTTTCTCATTAGGTTGAATGAATAACTGACTCTAAATGTAGGTATTGTGATATAAACTGAGTCTGTTCTACAGTTTCTCATTAGGTTGAATGAATAACTGGCTCTAAATGTATGTAATGTTTTATAAACTGAGTCTGTTTTACAGTTTCTCATTAGGCTGAATGAATAACTGGCTCTAAATGTAGGTATTATGATATAAACTGAGTCTGTTCTACAGTTTCTCATTAGGCTGAATGAATAACTGGCTCTAAATGTAGGTATTGTGATATAAACTGAGTCTGTTCTACAGTTTCTCATCAGGTTGAATGAATAACTGGCTCTATATGTAATTGTGATATAAACTGAGCAGTTAGGTTTAATGGGATTTTTGCCAGTGTTCTGTAAACCTGGCTAAGAAAGAACCCATTTGTGGTGGTCCAGAGCATGGAATGGCCCCCTAAAGTAAAGACCCACCAAAGGCCCTGTCAATAGTGTCCATCATAGTTACCTTGGTATGTGCCCCTTGACGTCAGACAGGTTGAGTGGTTTGTCTTCGTTAGCATTCGGATCATACTGGACCCCCAAATTAACTGGCACCTTGTTTAAGACACATAAAAACCCATATAAAATATTCACTGCCAGATCATCTCAACATCTTACTCAGCTCCCCAAGATGCAACTCAAAAGCAGAATGCAATACGTCTCAGTCATAGCATTAACATGACATGTTGGAAATTGTTCAATATAGTTTTAGGTAACTATTCAATTTTGAACATACACCAATCAGTCCACCTCCTTATATCTACACACACTGACCATTTTTTTAGCTCTACTGACCATATAGGAGCACTTTGTAGATCTACAGTTACAGACTGTAGTCTATCTGTTTCTCTGCATCCACTTGTTCCAGCACAACATGGTCAGGTGGTCCTGTGGGGGTCCGGAGCATTGAAGAACAGGGTAACAAAGTATGGAGAGAAACAGATGGACTACAGTCTGTAACTGTAGAACTACAAACTGCTCCTATATGGTCAGTGGATCTGATAAAATGGACAGTGAATGAAGAAACAACGTGGTAGTTTTAATGTTTATTTCTCTTACCATCTCTTTTCCGTCTGTTTCACTCTTGCAATGCTCTGTTGTCCCAATCGAGCTGTCCTGTTCAGTCTGTTCCTGGTTGTCCTCGTCCTTCTCTTTGTGGATCAGAGGTTGTATCTCAGGAGGTTCCTCTATATCATTATGGCCAAATGTCTCCATGGCTGATGGTGCGCTCTCAATGTTGACTAAGGGAAGATACAAGAGTTTATACTCAATTGGTGTTTCCAAGCTCCGCCCACAAATGCATTCTTTTGTAGCTACTTTTGTAAAGTTGGGCAGAGTGAGTTATTAATTTATAGAGAGTGGGTGATACTGCAGTAGTATTATATAGTAATACTTCAAGCATTTCCACGATACACAATATGCATCACAATGTTCAGTTTCTGAGGTTTAATAAGATAAAACGGATAAAATATAATAGGTTGGAACAGAGAAAATAGAACCTGTAGTGCCACATGTAAAAATACAATAATAATAATAAAAATAACAATAATAATAATAAAAACAACAACAACAACAACAACAACTTTACAACAATGATTTTTATTCAGTGTTTAAGCACTTATGGGCGGAGCATGGATAGCTCAATTTTGCGTATCTAGTACAGTAATAAAATATCCAGGCAAAAAAGACTAAGAGGCCCATGTAAGTCTGCATGAACACATAATTCTGTTTACATAATCACAGTAATAAGTTTATCATGGGTATGTTACCATAATGCTAACTGATGGAAGACTATGAAAATGAGCAAGTGTTTGTGATGTAGCTTCAAAAAACCTGACTGACGTGTTGCAGATGCTGCTTCTGTCCACTTGGCATCGGCCTCCCTTTCCATCCGCAGCTGCAGCAGACGAATGTGATCCAAGAGCTCCTGCATTTGAATAAAAACATACAATCAGTGTGAATAAATTCAGAAAGCCATTAAGAAATATGTGGATGCTATCATGTTCAGATAAACAGGAAAGATGTGCCTGTTTCTCCAGCTGCTGCTGCTCTCTCTCCTTCTGTATGGCTCTGAGACTCGCCCTAAGCTCCTGTACACAAAGATAAAATGTATAATATTTTGTTTCCATTCATTGTTATTATTTTTATGTCGTGTTATTACATATTTAAACTACAAAATAAACCATTATCCATAGCATTTTATAATTCGATTGAATTTAAGCTAAGAAAAAACTGCATCTGCTTGTTTACTGGGTGACAGTTTTTAAATTCTATTTTCGCTATGCCTCATCAACTTTGCATCTGTGTTTGTGGCTCTTGAGGTATCACAAAGTACATGTATTTAGTTGTAGTGTTAGCCACGAAGCCTATTTGAATCTTTATTATGCAACAACAGGTCCAACAGTTATTCTCGACTCATGACTCTGCCTGAAACACGACCCAGCTGTGCGCTGGTCACAGAGAACAACAACGAGTGTCTAATTATAGTCCTGCACACAAACTGATATATTTACCCGGTTGCAGTCTTTCTCATTTCCAAGCTCCACTTCCAGTTTCTCTCTCTCTGTTCTTTCTTCTTGGAGCCACTCTTCCTTTTTTTGAAGCTCACGACTCAGCTTCTGGATTCGTTCCTTATCCAGCTGTGGAGAGAGGAATACTTGTTCTAGACATACTGAAATCAACAACATCCAAACTGAAATCAACACTCACACTGAAATCAACAAAGCACTCACAATGAAATCAACACAACACTTAAACAGAAATCAAGACAACGCACACACTGAAATAAACACACCCACACTGAATCAACACTTACACTGAAATCAACACAATACCCACAGTGAAATCAACACTCACACTGAAATCAACACAACACTTAAACAGAAATCAAGACAACGCACACACTGAAATAAACAACACCCACACTGAATCAACACTTACACTGAAATCAACACAATACCCACACTGAAATCAAGACTCACACTGAAATCAACACAACACCCACACTAAAATCAATACCCACACTAAAATCAATACCCACACTAAAATCAACACCCACACTGAAATCAACTCACACTGAAATCAAGACAATATCCTCACTGAAACCAAGAACACCCACACTAAAATCAAGACTGTCAGAGAAATCAATACCCACATTGAAATCATCACAACACTTATGCTGAAATCAACACAATGCCCTCACTAAAATCAACACTCACATTGAAATCAAGACAACACCCATACTAAAATCAACAACACCAACTCCCACACTGAAATCAACAATTACACTGAAATCAACACAACACACACAGTAAAATCAACACTCATACTGAAATCAAGACATCCTTACTAAAATCAGCAACACCTACACTGAAATCAAGACAACATCCTCACTGAAATCAACATCCACACTGAAATCAAGACTGACACAGAAATCAACACCCACACTTACATCAAGACAACAACCTCACTGAAATCAATAACACCCACACTGAAATCAAGACTGACACTGAAAACAACATCCACACTGAAATCAACACCCACACTGACACTCACATTGAAATCAACACAACACCTTCACTAAAATCAATAACACCCACACTGAAATCAACACAATACCCACACTGAAATCAACACAACACCAACAATGAGATCAACACTCACACTGAAATCAACACACACAACAAAATCAAAATGATAAAACCTGTACTGCCATTAAAACTATGAAAATGAGAAAATGCATAACAAATATGATAAACTTTCATGTAATGTGTTTTTTTGACATAAAAAAGCAAAGAGAAACAAACAAACAAAAAGCCAATTTCCTAGCTAAAATCATTTCACTGCTAATAAGCCAGTTAGCAAACTAAGATATCCTATTAACCACAATCTACAACACACACAATTTAAACACTACTTTTTTATTTTTTACTAAAAAGGAAAAAAATAAAAAGGCTATATTATAACTACAGCTAATTTACTGCTAACAAGCCAGCTAGCCGGCTAGCAAGAAAGTAATCTCAGTAAAATAAATACAGATATTATTTGCAGCAATGTGGCAGAAAAACACAATAAACAGAAACTTTGAAATAACAAAAATACTACAGCACCTAAATGGAGCAAAACAAACATGCCAATCTAATCAAAAGCTACCCACATTTACAAAACACAAAGTGTAAACATCTTTGTTCTATTTTGTAATAAAAAACATAGAAACAAACAAAAACTCACAAACAAATAACAAGCAAATTTCCTGACTAGAGCCAATTCATCCTGTACAAACAGCTGCCTGAAACTAAACTGACAGTAAGACGAGATGCAGGTACACAAATCTAATACTGATGAAGAGATGCGGTGTCTAACAGCGTCCTCCCTCACCTCTGCACTTTGCCTCATACTCTCTCTTTCCTGGGACCAGGTGGCCTGTCCCTCGCGGAGGGCCAGGTTGGCCTGGGAAAGCTGCAGGGTCATCTGAGCTGCCTGCAGCCTGACCTGATGCAGCTCGGCATGGCTGTGGCTCTGCAGGGCTCCGAGTTCACTCAGGTCCCTCCGTAAGGCCTCCGTGCTCCGCTCGCTGGCCTCCAGGCGCTCCTGCAGGATCCGCAGCTCCTCATGAGCCTGTTCGCTCTCTATCTGATTAAAAAAGGGCACGTTTAGATCTCATATTTTTCTAAGTCCTTGGTACCCAGACTAAAACTTCTAAACCATATCACTTCATCTGAAGTCAGACCCATTCATCTCAATATTCTCAATATTGAGTGGACAGTGCTTCACTTTTCAGAAGGACACAGGCATGCCAGGCATTCATTGGTTGTAAAGTATTTCAAATCATGTACTTTTTATTTATAGTAAGTCTGTATTCAATTTCCAGTTACTTTTTCATCCCCTGGTTAAAAGGAGCATCTTCAAAAAATTCACACCTACTGTTGGGTCACTGTTTCATTTTAAATCTTTGGAGACAAAACAAACACTGACCAATTACATTAGACTGGAAAGAGTCATTTTAAACATTTGATATTTTTTCACAACTCACCTGCAAGTTCCTCCTCTCATCCTCCTCATCCCTCCTTTGTGTAGTCATCTTTTTGACTCTCTCTTTCATCCTGCAAACAGTAAAGTTACATTCATTTTTTAATAAAGTGAACAATAAAATAAAAGGAAAAGGCCCAATCCCATTTCACCCCTCTCCCCTACCACTTAGCCCTCTAGCCCTCCGTTCTGCATGTTCATGTCTAGGGGTAGGGTGTCCCGATTCTTGTTGAGACAGAGGGGTAGGGTGAAGTGTTAAGGCTACATGGCCCTCCAAATGGAGGTTTTTCAGACACACTCCAAATAGAGTGTTATGAGAAAAAAAAGAAAAACTGGCAAGATGGCTGCACAAGAGACCAAAAATCTGAGTTTTTTCTCCATTAACATCACAATAGCCATTGTATTATCTTAGTTTAATGTTTTTTCAATGTATTATGGTCCTTTTCTACATAACAAACATAAAAAATTGCTAATAGTATGCTGACATCTCAGTAGCTAGCTAGCTAAATTTCTTGTTCCACTTTAAATAGTCTAGTAGTTCTGACGCCTGAAGCGCCAGAATGTAACTGCTGCTCCATTATAGGTGGAACGGTGAAAATTCAAACGAGAAGCTGGCGAATAGCTGACTTCAGCTTTATATCACTGAAGAATTAGCCTTTTAATGAAATAATGTTATTCTTTACTGGATGTCTGTCCCATTTCGTAGGGAAGATTTCAACAACTACCCTTTGTAGCTCAGTTCCAAGGGGCAGGATGACACTTGAAAACAAGGGGTAGGGGTAAAAATAAAAAATGGGATTGGGCCAAAATGTATTTACAGAAACATAGAAATGAGCTTAGCCTAGTACAGAATACTTAAGCAACAACAATAAATATGGTACAAATTAACCTCTTTCTGTGGTGCCCTCTAGTGGCCATTCCACCACCAGACTGGAAATCAACTTGGATTTTTTAATTAATAAGATTAAATATTTTCACTGTTACTCTGTTATCGGATAAACTACGACTTCATTTGTCTCTCTGTCTGTGAAATATTATGACTGTGTTGAGCTGCTAGTGAGCAATGAGGTGAGGGGCGAGAACCCTCTGCTGTGAAAACACCCTGGAAAGTCTTATTCACTTATGCTACCATAAATCAAACTCATTTCTGTCCAAATATATTCCACCAATAAAGAAAAAATATATTGAAGAAAATAGAACTCATTTACTAAAGAACCTTGAAGACCACCTTTTTTAAGAGTGTAGTTTTGTGCTAAAGGCTCCTTCAGCCAAAGCAGTTCAATACAGCCAGGATAAGTTTTTAGAGTTATTTATGTTCTAAACACAGTTTTAAAGTTTTATATACCTTTTAAGCTCCACAGCTCTAAAGGTCATTCTTCAGCATTTTTTCTCTTTTTGATAAAGCACTTGTTTTGGAGTTTATTATTAAACAACCATAATATTTAAAAACGTTATTCATGAACACTCTATAACTGGTCTGGATACACTGCTGGTAGTGACACGGTCATGTTTGAGTATGAGAGCTTCGGGGACAGCAGTGATGCTGAGTCGGTTCCAGCAAGTCGTCTACAAAGTTCAGCCAAAAATAGCTGATGAGTGTTGTATTTTTCATAGTGGCTCTTGGTAAGACTCATATTTCCTGCTGAGTGCATCTACATGAGTAATAGACGTGGCCTACCTGTCCAGCTCTGCGTCTGTCTCTTGTTTTTGCTGAGTCAGATTGAGCAAATCCTCCTCGAGGTCTTTGATTCGCTGCTGGTTTTCAGCTCGTTCTATTAACAGAGCACTAACCTCTCCAGAGATATTTTCACTGGACTTCAGCATATCCTGAGAATAAAGATACGAGACTAAAAGTCTGAGCCATTCCTTATGTTTTTCACAGCGTTAATATTAGTGTTTCGTGACAATCTATGTGAATATATTGAATGGTTACTAGACATGCATTGACATACAACCATGTATGTTTGTTAATATGGTACATATCAGCACTATCATATCAAAACCTCATAATTCTTCATACCAGAACTACTCATGGCTCGCACAACTGACCACAGAGGTTTCATAACACAAGAAGATTTAACTAACCAATCACTTAAAATGAACAGAAATATAATAATCAATGTAGCCTATTAAATTTCACTTGAGTGCATAATCATGCAACATAAAAAATGTCTATATATTGTAATAATTTTTAATTTGCAAATAAAAAACATACAGCCAGAGGCCCTCTAGCAGTACCACCATGGCCCACTGGGGGGCCGTGGCCCACAGGTTGAAAACCACTGCTTTATACCACTTAAAAATGCAAGCTTCCCTTTACATTTTATGTATGAAAGTGGTGCTAAATTACTTGAATAAAGCTGTTACATTAATACAGAATAAAGCTAAGAAACTTTTTTCTCCTATAGTTACCATTTCACTACCAACAGTTTTGATATTTCACGTCTTCTAGCTGCAGTGCTTATACCTTTTGCTTGTCTTCCATTCTCTCAATCTTCTCCATGCTGCATCTCAGGCTGTCCCTCAGTTCTTCAATCTCACTCTTCATCTCAACCCTCTCCTTTTCAAAATCCTTCTTTGCTATTTCGTTTCTCTCCGTCTGTTTCTCTGCTTCCTCTGTGGCTGCGTCAAGCTTCTTCTGTAACTGCTTCAGTTCTTGCTGACATGCGTCCAGATGACTCTGTGGGTGCATGGCACAGTACACTGGTTAGTTGGTCTGAAATGCCCAGCTGTCCTTGCCTTTGTTCCTTATATACAGGCGTGCTCTGACCTGGAGTATCTGAGCTTTGGGGACCACCAGCAGTAAGTCTTCTCCCTCGTTCTCTTCTGCTCCATTCCTCTCCTCCTCCAGTGTCACCAGCTCATCCAAAGGCCTTGGTGCGCAGAAGGTAAACTGAGGGCTCACTGCACAGATCTCCTCTGACTCGTCTATGTACACAAACTGGAATGCTGTCCCTCCAGGGCTTGGCAGATAGGATGCTAAAAGAGGAAGAGAAAGAATGGAGGCAAGCCGTGGCCATGCTAAATACTTGGCACCAGATTGCAGGTACGCTACATGTCCAAAAGTTTGCAGAAGCCTGCTCCTCCAGCGTTTCTTCTGAAATGAAGGGTATTAATAGTGAGTTTGTGCTGCGTCTACTCTTTTGGGAAGGCTTTACACTAGATGATGGAACATTGCTGTAAGGGTTTTTTATGGAGAGTATACAAGCTTCAACACTCTTAAATACCAAAACCACCTCCTCAAACTGCTGCCTGAAACTGCCGAAGCAGTTTAACTACATTAAACAAAGCATGCTGGTTTGTATGGGGTATTCTGGTATTTTGGCAAGGTTGCCAGTCTTATGATGTCAGTTCAGTGTGCAGCAGTGTTAGCTTGCCTGAAGCCTGTTTTCATATTTTGGCTCTTTAACAACCTCATACTTCAAAAGATCCAATGAAATTTGGAGGAAAAATGGATACATGACAAATTGTATCAGGTTAGGGACATTTTTTGCTCACCAGAGGGCAGAGATGTGCAGAGATTTTTGATGTGCATAATTTTTTCTCATAGGCAAAACAAGCTTAGACCTGGAGTTCCTAATATGGCCATGACGGTGACTATGCTTCAGACATCTACTCATGAGGACAAAATCATGAGGACATTCAATAAACTTAAAAAACTTCTTCACACTTAAATATCTCGATACATGGGCAATGTATTTCACCACAATTCTCATCTTTTTGTAAACTGGGTGTTCCCAACCACACAGCTTAAGCTAAACTGTGAATCAGAGAAATGTACTGAGAGAAAGCTAACCACCAAGCGAAAGCTTACTGAGTAAGCATAACTGAGGTGGACAGCTAGCTCAACTGTTCACCTGTTGTGTTTAGTTTTGCTTCAGTGGCGTAGATGGCTGGGAGTGTTGGACTGAGGAATGTCAATCACACATGTTCATTAGAATATTAGGTCACACCCAGAAAATCTTAGTATCATGCTTACAACATTTTCAAGATTTTACAGTGTTTTCTGGGACTTAGGATCTCAGGTTGAAGCCAGGAACAACTGAGGAACCTTAATTTTTTAAGAGTGTGAGGCTAACTTGTGTTAACTGCTTTTTTCCTTCAGAATTTCAGGTTGAAAAACATAACAATGTAAGACTGAGTCTGGAGGAGAAACATACGCTGGAAGAGGACACTGCAGTTCACTTCTGTGCCAACTGTATACCCTTCTGGAGCAAGAGCCCAGGCGAACGTGTGATAGTCCCTCACTGATGCCCATCCCACCTAGAACATGAAAGAGGAATGAATGGGGCACTACATAAACACTACAAACAAGTTTGGAATCACTGTTCAAAGGTTTGGAATTGATGTTTTCAATAACGTAAACCAATTTGGTTTAAGATAAATTGTCTCTAATATGATCTTCCTCAACAACTTTACAGTCTCAGGTAAAACAGTAGGACACTAGGAAGCTGTAAATAAATATAATGGAATGTTACACGCATTTACAATGATAAATAGAATATTAAGAGTACATTTCTAAAAAAAGGAACATCCAGAATTCAGCATATTTTAACTTGTAAACAGATAAATACAGTGTATTATTGGTCATTTAATGGTGTTTAGAGGTTTGTGATAAGGCAACAATATAATTCTGAAATTTTCATATTTTCATAATTTTGATATTTCACAATATTTATTTTTTCATGCATCTGATAAGCCTGAACTAAGAAAAAAGAATCAGTAGCGCTACGTTTTACAAAAATACTATCAAGAACTGTAAATACAGTGATTTCTTGTCAGTATTTGGTAATACATCTAGTTAAACAAGAACTTCTTGTTCTCCAAATTCTTGAAATATTAAATAAAACTTCTAAAAAAAACCTTTTTGCAAACAGTTTGTACTAATTATCCACACTGTATATGTTACCATTGTAACTTAAATCACAAAAAAATTTAATCTTGCGAATTCCAAACTTTTACAGAAAGAAACTCTTATTTTGCTCTTATGCCGATGCCCTCCTGTGGTTACCTTGAAGAGACCTATCCAGTCACGACTGCTCCACTTGTGGTGACCACTTATAGTGTACCGACATTCCACCCTGGTCTGAGGGAAGTAGGTCTGGTTCACATTCCTGAATTTCACCCTCCGAGGCTTCTCCATGGCAACAGAGTCAGAGGGCCAATGGAAGTTCTGTCAGAGATCAAACAGCTAATGAAAAATGATGTCCAGGTCATGCAGGGTTACTGCTGCATGCAAGACAAGACGAACAAACAAGCCAAAGTGCATTAAATTCATGAGAACCAGGTCATTTCGAATTTTTGGATCTGCTGTGTGACAATGACTGTTGACTGGCAGATGCAGGTCGTCCTGTTTGTGCTCTGCTCTACTATATTTAGCTGCTTTCCAAAGAAGCCTTCAAGAAGAGTTTGAAGCTATTGGATTTCGTAAAGTGTTGTGAAATGACACGAGGGACATTCTTGGAATGTTTACTCAGAGAAAGGCTCGGGGAGGTGATGGAGTGTAAGCAGAGGTTGTGATGTACTTATGAATCATCTGAGCAATGAGGGAAATGAGCAGGCAAACAACCAAAGCTGAGCAAAAAGCAAAGGTCTGTAGCTGGAACTTGAAGAGTGGAAGGAATAGAAATGGTAGTTTCATGCAATGTTTATATATAAAAGTCAATATATTAATTATTTACTTGGACTATTTGGACTAAAATATATGCTAGTTATATTAAAAATGGCTTTTTTTAGAAATATGAATTGAAAAATGAACGAACAGCTGCTGGCTAAGTTGAGTATTGCGAAATCTGTTTTTCTATTGCTAAAGACTGACAACAACAAAAGTAACTGGCTATTAAATTTAATAAATTCATTCAAATCTTGTGCAGTCTGGGCTTATAAAGTGGAAATGGCCTACATTTCTAAGACTTAAGAGGCTGAAATTGGCTTCTTGTTCGAATTGTCCGTTCCACCTTAAATGGTGCAGTAATTAGACTGTGGTGCCTGAGGCGCCATAATGTAACTGCTGCACCATTTAAGGTGGAACGAACAATTCGAACTTCAGCTTCGTGAAAAATTACAGCAAGCAGCAAAACTAACAGTGAGAACAGTTCTTACCTTACACTCAATCAAAAGATCTTCAGTCTAGGTCCCGAGAACTTTTGGCTCATCCCTGTCAGACCGCAGACCCTACTGTAGGCAGAACCGACGTTCTCCCTTCTTATCAAGGGTGTCACTTTCAAAACCAATAACAAACGCACATGCATCATCCTATAACGACTTCCTAGCTGTTGAACTATGGGAAATGTAGTCTGTTAGAGGCGCCATGTGCTAACCAGCTCTCATTTCCTCTTTTATTGTCCTTTACAGTTTTTAAAGCGTCTGTTTATGTATTTCATCACAAATATCCCTCGTTTTTCAATGTGGTGAACTTGCTTTGGCATCAAGATCAGACAAACTGTCTGGAATTAGTGTACATATTGTTACAAATGCTGAACTACACTCTTTAGTACAAAGAATGGTTCTATTTGGAACCGTGAGTCCTATATAGAACCATTTCATGCTTAAATGGTTCTTCAGATTGATAGAGTATGTATTGTATATGGTTCCAGATAGTTCTTCTATTGTTTCAAGCTTGATATTGTAAGAGCAACAGAACCATAATTGGTTCTATAGACAATACATTCTCCATCAATCTGAAGAACCATTTCACCATGCAAACAACCATTTAAGCATACAAAGGGTTCTGCGAGTGTTCATGGCGCTATATAGAGCACTTGTCTTTATTAAAGAACCCAACCTGTTTATAGAGTGTAGAACTTTCTGCGTGCTTAAATGGTTCTCTGCATGGTGAAGTAGTTTTTCAGATTGATGGAGAATGTGTATATGGTTCTATATAGCTCCAAAACGTGTTCTGCTATTAACATATCGTAACAATAGAAGACCTTTTTGGTGCTATATAGAACCATTTTCAAGTGCCATATGGAATACCATATACAGCGAATACCATTTACAGCACATTCTCCCTCAATCTGAAGAGTCATATCATGCAAAGAGCCATTTAAGCATGAAATGGTTCTATTCAGAGCTTATGGTTCTAAATAGAGTAATTCTCTTTACTAAAGAACCCTTGTAGAGCCATTTTGTTTGCAGGTTCTGTAGACTAACTCCTGTGCTGCTGGCTTTACATAGCCTAAATGTTTGGTCAAAACATGTTGAATGCAGAAACGAACACTAGATGGCAGTGTGATTTAAAGTAGGTTTAATAGGATGAGAAAAATGAAAATGTTGATGCTTTTGCAGTCACTGGAACATTTGCAGTAATACTGATGTAAGATATGTTCTTTTTTTTGAAGAAGTAAAGCTTAAAGCCTGAGTACATTTATCTGTTAAGTAAACACTGTGAAGTACGTCTGTTTAAATTAAGTGAGAAACAAAAATAGTAGTGTACAATTTTCAACTAATGCATTGTTTTCCAATTTTTCCTTCCCAAAAATAAGTTCATTAAATGGATCAGGGTGCTCTACTTATTGATTTTCCATTGAGCTGGGGATTCAGATGGTACAGCCTTCATGTTGTCCCACAGACTGATGCAGTCAAAGCCATTATATAGCCACCACGAGCTGGTAATTTCATGCAGGCGCTGGGCGAGGCTGCACAGAGAAATGCCTCTGGACTGGTTTTAACACATGGATCATTGACTGAGGCTGCAGCTGCAGGGAGGAGGAGGAGGAGGAGGAGGAGGCGATGGTGTTTTACAACACTGAGGAGGTGCTTTGTAGCAGATGGCAAGGAATACATGCAGAGAGAAGAAGTGTTTGTCCATAAAATGAAAACTGACCACTGGCGATATAAGGAGTAAGGATGGAAAAGGGAGTAAAGGCAACATTAGGGTGAAGTCAGGTAAATTGGGCAACTCCTTCTAAAACTGATTAAAAATAACACAGCACATAATGCATGACTTTCAGATGTGTGTTTTGTCAGTTAGAAAGGTCTCCTCTTGCATTCTGTGTTGAAAATATTTAGGAAAAACAATACGTTTCTAAGTCCGGCAACTATCCACCTCCAGCACAACCCCACTGTAATCAGGTAAAATGTGCCATGTGTTCAGATAAAATGGACAAAGAAACATTCTTTATGTCATTTGTAGTTAAAAATGTCACAAAAATTAGTGTTAATAATTGGTGTGTGTTGTAGAGATGAATTTGAGTGTTACAATCAAAACAGTCAAACAGTATCATATATGGAGTCCAAGTCAGATTTGGGACTTTTACATTCGGGACTTTTAACTGACTTGGTCTTTAGACTAAAATCGTTTAAAAGTCAATTATGTTTGTTTTATGAAAACAAATTTGGGCATTCTATTCTATTCTATTCAAAACCAAATGTGTCAGTAGTGACTGTTTCAGTAGTGACAATTTTGAGCAGATCTCAAAAACCAGTACATGACTAGCAAACACAGCTTTGAACAGCTGTACACACAAAATTATCATATTTTTTATTAAACCACAAAAAAGGTCAAAAGGTTTCAGCAGTGACAATTCTTAATGTTCCACACTGATTTTCAGACTTTGGGGCACATTTACTGCAAAACAATGAGATTTAACTGCTCACCATGTGGCCATGAGGGACAGGGTTGCAGTCTCACTTCCTGCTCTAAAATGCAGGGGCGTGGCTAAAATAAGGCTCCGCTTACAGACTAAAACTCTGTGTTTCGGTAGTGACATGAAAACGTGGGATAGCATTTTATGAATAAGATTTTTATTTAAAAATTACTCTCATGATAGACTAAATCTTTCAGCTTCACTTTAAAAGAAAAAAAAATCTTTTAATAAACAACATTAAAAAAAGTATTATAAGTGTAAATTTAAAGGTTAGGGTTTGGGACAGACACCTCCAAATAAAAAGCACCCTATAAATGATGATTTTGTATATTTAGCTTATTACTGTCTCTATTGCCTTGTGTTTCAATAGGTCAGAACATAACACTTATAAATATTTGAATATTTCATTGTTTTTAGTAGAATTGTGAATTGTTTTTGGTAGAATGGTCCATATAGTCTACCAAACGGGGATAATTATGACTTTTTTTTCATGTCTGTGCATATGTGCCTGACCACATGTAAATGTGTGTATATTTGTAGTCATCCACTGTGAATATTACATGTTCAGGTTTGAATTTTATGCCTTCAATAATATTTGAATACTTACTTCAAATATTTGAGAAGGTGGCACATTTCCTATTTTAGCTGAAATTAATATCTCATTTTGTCTACTATATTAAAGGGAATTCCACATATTTTTTAAAAAATATGTACTTAGTTTAATTGCTGAGATGTAAGCAGAGTGATTCAGAGTGGTTTGGTGTGAAATGGTTTAGATTTCTTTACAGTGGTGGTGATAGGAACCAGGGGTTGCCATGACTGCAACACAAATATAGACATTTTATTTACTATCCAAAACTACCAGTGAGCCTACACGTCTTCTGAGTTTTATATGGAATGTTGATGATGGTGAAATTGAGGTAATTAAAAGAAAATGTAACTATTTTGCCTCTATTTTGTCCTGCATTTATCTCTCCACAATGAATAGAAAGTAAAAGTTTAAGGTCAAAACCACACTTGTGACTGTTTTGTGGCCCATTAAATACTTCAGATCCTATCACCACCACTGTGAACTGACTGTAGAACAGAGAACTTCACACCAAACCACTCTGAATGACTTTGTTTACATGTTAAACATTTAATTACTCAGTATTTAGCAAAATTGCTGGAATTCTCTTTAAAGCAAAAATGAGCCACCAACAAAAAATGCTTTTTTTCATAAAAAATGTAATACAATAATACAAAAATAATACAAAAAGTACAACAACTCAAGGCATAAGGAAAGGATGCAGTATTGACATACGGGATGAATTTGAGCATATCAGTTTGTAGCCAAGCATTCTTCAGACTCGCTCTGCTGGAAACTCTCTAGCTTTCTGAAGCAACCACACAAAACAAATGTGTGCTCTCCTCTGTTCTGCCAAAAAATGCATGTCTTTATCACTCTCCTGATAAGACTGAAATCTTCTGTTAAATGTGATTGAGGCTCTGCTGAACAGTCCATCATCACTTTCCCTTCTGTGGACTTTAAAGCTGCACTATGTAAGATTTTTTTTTTAATTTAAACTGAAAGAAGTATCATTACTGAGTTAAGAGAATAAAGCCTGAAATCATTATTTAAAAGTTAGAGGCGTCGGCTCGGGAGTTTTTCACTCCACGTCAGATGTCTTTACAAATTACGTCACACAGACAGGCTCAAAAAGAAGGTCTGGCTTGATGTTTAGGCCTCAAATGATCTCAAACTCAACATTATACTGATGGAGATGTGATGACAATGTTAGATAATTCACTCACATCCTCAGAAGACGCGTCCTTCACCAAGTTTAGACTAAGTTCTCTTTTAATCTCTTTCTCTTTTGTGCTCAGTAAAGTGGCCTGAAGCACAACCCATATTGCAAAGTTCTTCTGCATGTTGCATGCAGTTACACATTTTCACCTGAGGGGTCTCCAAATCCCCAAGTCTTACATAGTGCAGCTTTAACTAAAACTCACTCATAGATATTTTACTCCTGTCTCACACTATACTTACCACTTACCTGTGTACCTACGGCAACACAATCTGTGCAGCAGCAGATCAGCTATCGTTTCTGACTTTACACCTACAAGGTGGACCAACAAGGAGTGTCTAATAGAGCAGACAGTGAATGGACATAGTGTTTAAAAACTCCAGCAGCACTGCTGTGTCTGATCCACTCGCCCCAGTGCAACACACACTAACACACTATCACCACGTCAGTGTCACTGCAGTGCTGAGAATGACCCACCACCCTAATAATACCTGCTCTAAGGGGGTCCTGTGGGGGTCCGGGCCATTGAAGTACAGGGTAACAAAGTATACAGAGAAACAGATGGACTACAGTCTGTAACTGTAGAACTACAAAGTGCTTCTATATGGTCAGTGGAGCTGATAGAATGGACAAAGAGTGTAGAAACAAGGAGGTGGTGTTAATGTTATGGCTGATCGCCTGATCAGTGTGTGTGAATCTCACCATACAGCCTTGATGTATTGAACCTTGCTTTTCTCCACTACAACCTAAAATACGCCGATTAAACTTGTCTTGACTCCAGAACTGGAGATGATGCCAGGATTTTTTATTATCCGACGTATCGACAAACTGTGTGATGATTCTTTTGGGGAATTCCGG